CCTATTTCCATATAAGGTATGACTGACGGAAAGGTCTGTCACCGCCCCGAGCTGCATGCTGCAGCGAAGTGTACCTCATACAGTTCAACTAAAGTTGAAACAATTGAGATACCACAAAGCAATCTGTGAAAAATAAACAACTACTTGAGAAAAAATTTAACAGACACAAACATAGATTTTGAAAACAGTGAAAATTCAGTCTTTACTAAAGCACAATTTCTGCACCCTGGTAAAAGAATCATTGCAGCTTTATGTTGGCAAAGTTACTGTGTAATGTTTTTCCAGATATGATAATTTTGAAGGCTGTTTTGAACCAGCTATAAAAGAAAGCATAAATGAATGGGTTCAAAGTTGAATTTGTTAGGGCCAGCCAGTTAAGCGTTTCAATTACAGGAACCGGAACTGCTTTTTTACCATGAAACATAAAAGTAAAACAAACAAAGAAGGGAGTCCAACAAAAAAGAAACACTCCCAGAACAGTAGCCAAGGTTTTGGTGGCTTTTTTTTCCATCTTACTGGCAGTTGCTGCACACCTCATTGTTGTTTGAATGCTTCTTGCCTGTTTCTCTGCAACAAGGAAAATCTTCAGGTAGATGCACAACATTATGACAACTGGAAGGTAAAATGAAAATATAGGTCCAACTGTGTTTGCTATGAGAACATCAATAAAACATGTTTCATCACATTGTTCATTTCTTAATCCAGGTATTATCAGTCCAACTCCAATAAGCACAGAAGCACCCCAGCTTACAGTGATCATGAAGACAACTACATGATGACTGATTTTGGTTTTGTATGTTAGGGGCTGACACACTGCATAATATCTATCCACAGAAATGCAACTTAGATGTATGATAGAGCATGTGCTAAACAGTATMACGAAAGTATCTCGTATCTTGCAAAATAAACCTCTATAATACAAACATATGCTTAGAGAGAATGTCATACTGAAAGGAAAAACTAGAATCCCAACAAGCAGGTCAACAACAGCCAGAGACAGAATGAGGAAATTAGTAGGAGTGTGGAGTTGTCTGAAGTAAAGCACAGAGATTATTACAAGGAGGTTTCCACAAACTGTGACAACAGACAAAAGTGTAAGAAAACCATATAATATTACACAAATTGCAGAAGGGGTTGTAGTTAGTTTATAACTGAACTGATCGATTTCATAGCAGGGATGTAAGGCAGGCCCTAAATTAGTTCTGTTGACAGTATTTTTTATTTCCATGACCTAAAAGAGTAAATTTAATTCATATYAGAAACAAAGAGCGCTGTGGAGATAAAGCAATTACAATTTTACTGACAAATACATCTTGTACAGTCTGAGTCTTGATTTTCTTCAATTCTGATAAAAACTTACAGCTTGTCAGYGAGGGCTGTGGTAGCTCAATGGCTAGGTCAATGCCGTGTTGTGTAATCCTGAGACTACAGGTTTGAGCTGAGGTTGCACCAGGAAGAGCATCTATCAAAAAACAAATTTCAAATCTTTCATGAGTTTGCTTGTTCTAGCAGGTCCTGCAGATAGCCAAAAGAAAGACAACTTCCAGTAAGTCAGTGGTTGATCTTAGCAGCATGATTCTCTGTGCATTTGCCTTTATGACCTACTCACTACCAACATTTGCAACATTGTAAGCAATCTCCTCTAGGAATTGACAGTTGCATCTCAGCTGAAACCAAGGGTGACCAATGTGTTGTGTATGTGTGTACATATGTGTGTACAGTCATCACTGCTTCAGAAATACTACATTTTCATAGGATTCTAAACTCACTGATTACCTGTTTGCCTGTCACACTGACATACAGTACATGTTTACTCTAAAGAAAGAAAATTAAAATTGAAAGGACGCTCTTTAAAGGTTCACAAATTGAAAGTGCTGAACTAAATGCACTGTCCAAAACCAAAAGTATGAATTGTAGAAATTGTTGTAGGACAGGAGTCACTAACATTTTTGAGACTGACAGCTATTTCAGGGGTACAGAGTCACATGAAGGGCTACTTGTTTGATACAAACATACATTTACATGACTCACTTTCAGTCACAATAGTAATAAATGCACATATATGTCTGATTAAATCTTGCCACTGCCGCCACTGGTAGGGTGACCAGACATCCCCGATTTCCGGGGACTGCCCCCATTTTGGACGACTTCTCCTCTGCTAAACCAGTTCCTGGAAATGTCCCTTCTGCTTTATATATATATATATATATATATA